TGGTCTGAGGCATTAATCCAGGTACGGCTGTATATATTAGAGATGGTTCAGAATCTGACACCTAAGGCAATTCTATTATCTATAACAACTCTGGCCAGTGAGTTGAGGTGGAGCTGACTGCCTTCCAAGGCCCAGGAAATATCACCAATCACTTTAGCTCAACTTAAGCACAGATTTCTTACCACCTTTTCTAATTAACTGACTCCCATCATTGAGACAACCAACCACACAAAGTGCACATAAATTAGTCAGTTTTCTCTCTGGAGAGTTCCTCCAAGTAACTAAGGGTAGTCCTATGTCAGAGTGATCCCTGTAATAATCTGAGGGCTATGTGATCTATTTTGGGTTCCTGAAAAACTTGAAAGTCTCTAATTAGCATACCTAGCATACAAATTACTGTGATCTTGGAAGAAGAGAAATTAATGTCTCACTTCTATACAAGTATAGTCTGGGGAGGAGGTGGGGGTGAAAAGGGTGTCCCTAAAAAGAAAGTGTTGATTATAATCGTTGAAGCCCGCTACTAGGATTAGCAGGAGTCTGAGAGCACAGGTTGACAGCACTGTCTTTAAGGCTACTTCCTGGTTTTAAGCCTGCAAATTCCTCCCCAAGTCCTCATTATCAGGCAATAAAGTGGAAAACCATTTATTTTCCAGTAGACGATACAATCTGGTGAACGTGTTCACTACCAGTTCCCGTGGACTTCCCTCAACTTCTGTTACTTGGTCGACAAAGTCCAGTTTCCTTTGTCAGATAGCCATGTCTGTGTCAGCATCCTATCCTCATCACCAAAAACTGCCAAGAAACATGAAAGATCTGAAATTTGACTCTATTTGTAAGCTAACAAGCTAGCCAACTACAGTTTCTTCATGCTAGTATTGGAAATAAGACTTCTGTGTTTAAGACAAAAGATAATTTATTACTCACAGCAATAGCCGTGACCAGCGTACCAGCACTATTTTTTATGCTGCTGCCCTGAACCCCAATTCCTATACGCCAACACCAAGAGGTCCAGAAAATACCTGTACTTGCATGAGATTGCAGTATAGGAGAGGAACCCAGAACTTAACAAGGTAACAGGAATGACTTGAAAGGTTTAATGCAACTGAGTAATATAGTTGATAAGCAATGGTTCAAAAATACATTTTGAATGTAAATGGGTAATTCGAAAATTTTTACACAAACGCATAGTTCAAATTAGAGAACTTAGGGGATGTGACTCTTTTATAATGGATAGTGATCAGGCCTGCCCTTTGCTCCAGAAGGAGTCATTTTCTCTATCTGCCAATACCATTCACTATATAAACATCATTGAAAATATAGTTTGGAACAAAGAGTAGTCAGTATCTTCACTCTTAGGATATTAGGCAACCCACAGAGAATTGTCTCCCAACAGAAACCTGTAGTGTCTTAGTAGAAATTACCAGAAGCCACCAACTTCTAATTCATATTTTGCATGAGTTAGGATGGTATTCAGCTACATATAACAAGATCCCAACTACACTGTTTAACTAAATGTGTCTTTCTGTTTGTTTCTTTCTTCTGCTGTTTCTCCCTGCATGTAACCAGACGTTCAGAGGCAGACAGTCCAGGTTTCGTACAGCTACAAAGGAGGTCATGAAGGCCCCAGGTCCCTATCCTCCTGCCCCACTATCCTCATCATTTGGCTTCCTACCTCTTGATCACAACATGCACAGTCCACCTCCACCTATACAGTTCTGGTGCTCGGTGGAGAGGAATGATGATCGGATTTGAAGGAAGGTTAAAAATCTTGAGATAGTAAAAGGAAGAATTAAGACTGGATCAAAGTTATACTGTGTTTTGAAGGTAACGGACAAAGCATTAATCAATTAACAAGGTAACAGAAATGACTTGAAAGGTTTAATGCCACTGAATAATTTAGTCGGTAAGTTACGGTAATGTAAATGGGTAATTTGAAATTTTGTTACACAAATGCACACTTCAAATAGTACTATAATCTTTCGTTGTTTGGTGCTGCTATTCAGATTTATGAGTTATAGCTTGTAATACTGTGTAAAAAGAGGCACCAAGCTTAGGAGGAGATCAGAATTCAGCTTGAGGCTGTTTTAGCTTGTGACAACACCCTAGTATGCCACTATACTTCTCTACCTTCTATGTTTCCTTATATAATTGATACACAGAATTTAACACTAAGAAATCTAAATTTCCGTAGAGTAGTAACAAGCTTATATGAATAATTCTTTATAGTAATTAAAAATTAAATTATCTGCTACTGTTGTCAGCAGGGTTTAATTTTTAGCATACGCTGAGGCCACTAGTTTCTAAACAATCTCAGAGCACTAAATATCTTGAAGACTGAAAAAAATAAGTTCCTATACAGAGCAGAAACTAAAGAAAAACAGGTTAAGGAAAAAGGTAATCCTTAACTATGCATTCTATGAATTATCCATGCTCTCAACTTGTTTCCTTTTACTGCATATTGTCTAAAACTCTCTTATTTAA